CACTGCCCATCCCTAGGGGCACCAGCAGATCCCCTTTACCCACCCTGGAGGCTGACACAGACCTCTCAGCTCCTACTCCAGAGGCAGGCACAGATCCCTCCACCTCCCACCCCAGAGGCAGGCACAGATCCCCACCTCCCACCCCACCCGTGGGGTCGGGCACTGCTCCCTGCCCAGCTACGGGATCGGGACCAGGCAGCGACACCCCCCCGGGCCGACCCGAACCGATCCGTGCCGCACTCACGGGCTGGAACTGCTCGTCCATGTCGGCGCGGGGCCGGCCGCCGGCCTGCGGGGAGAGGGGGGTTAAGCGGGGACCGGGAGTGCAGGAAGGCACCGCCGCTCCGGAAAGTCCCTAGAAACCCCGCCGAGCCGGGAAATGACGGGACCGCGCGTCAGCGCCCCGCCCCGCCGCGGCCGGGACACGGGGCACGGGGCACGGCCCGGGCATGGGGCACGGGGCGGGGGACACGGCTCGGTCAGGGCACAGCTCGGCCGGGGCACAGCTCCGCACGGCTCTGCACGGCCCTGCACGGCTCGGAGCGCGGCCGCTCCTGCGCCCGCCGGCGGCCGCCCGGGGCGGTGGGACGAGCCGTCCTCTCGCTGCCTGGGGATTTTGGACTCGGAGCCCCGGCGGGCTGGAAATCCCGGAGCACGCCTGCCCGCCTCCCCCGGGCGCTCCTTAGCAGCCCCAGAGCGCCACATGTCCCGAGTTTTCCCCCCGGGAGCACGGAGGGATTTGCCCCTGCCCTCCCCGGCCGCCTGCCCCGCTGCAGGCGCCGGTCCCCGCCGCGCAGCCATCGGCCCTTCCCCAGCAGGACTTGCAACACGGCTGAAACCGCTCGCCCACGCCACAAAGCCTGGCAACAGCTCCTGGGTCCCGCAAGGTCCCAACCCCAGAAAATCCCACCCCGATGATGTGCCTCCAGCACGGGGACGTCTCCTCCAAGCCCCTCTAGACTCAAATAGGAGCAGCCATCCCAAAGCGCTGCCTCCAAGCTTGCTGGTCCCCCGCTGGCCAGGGGAAGCTCTCCAGAACTCTGCAGACTGAAGGCAGCGCATGGCAGCCCCCTTCCAGGCACTCAAAGGGGTGCTTTCCCGCTCCCCCAGTTTCCACTTACACGGCAGCTCCTGCATCCGTCCCACGGAGGTGGCCTGTGAGAGGCATTCGCTATCCGTGTTCCCATTCCCTCCTTCCCACTTGAGAACATCTGGCTTCAAAGTGGAAGCAGCAGCCCCAGAGCTCCCTGTGGGAGCATATCCCACCGCCCCAGCACTCAGCCCTGCATGCTCCCCACTGACCCCAGCAAGACACTGCCAGCAGCAGGGGCCCTTCCTTGCCGCCCACGACGCTCGCACCCTCCTACTCACCGGGGAGGAAGAGGCTGGTCTCAACAACCCGTCCAGCCCCAGCATCGCCACAGGGACTGCCAGTACCGCAGGCAGGGGTTCCACTGGGGTCAAGGTCTGCCTGACCACGGAAAACCACCGGTGACTTCTAGCAAAGGGGCAGGATCAGAGCAGAGCCTCTGAGCACACTCTCTTGCTCCACATTTCTTCTCACTAACCAATGAAAAGAAGAAAAAAAGCAAAAAAACCCCTGTATCTGACTCCACAGTGCCCTCATACCGTGAATTTCTGAATCAGTGGTTGCTGCAGGTCCCACTCAGGGGATTTTGGGTGTGTGGGAGAAGAGGGGAAGGAAAGGGATTGTTCAACTCGTGCGTGACTCATATTCTTCAGAAGCTGAACAGAATCTTTTCAAGGAGATTTTTCAGCCACTCAGGTCCTCCAAAGGGGCTGTCCTGTGACCCCAGGCCTGAGGTTTCCCCTGGCTGGCCTGCCACCTGAGTCCTGGTGAGCTCCAGCAGCCCCTGCCCTGCCAGCCTGTGGGATGCATCCCAGACAGAAGTGCAGCCTGGGACGTGGAGTCTGAGGACCTGCAGGTGCAGCAGAGGGTGCAAGGAGGGAGAAGGTAGAGATTCAGCACTGCAAAACAAGGTGGGACCTTCCTCCTGCCATTCTGCAGGGGCTTCAAAAGGCCTAGGAACATGGACACAACCCCCCACTGGCCTGTGGGAAGCAGCACATCCTCTCTACTGTTGGGATCCCACCCGTCATACCGCCTGCCACCACCAGCCAGCCACCCCATCTGCTGGCACAGATTTTACAGAGGTGAAGAAAGGGGCAAACATCCTTCCTCAGTGTGCTGGGAACAGCCACCCCGAACCCTACCTGCTGAGCCCAGCTGGGGGAGCCTAGGCCTGAATATGCTGGATAAGAACAAATTGTGCCCTTCGGATAGCACAGCTCCCCTGCTGCAGTGCCATCGGCCCTATTCCCTCTTGAGGGGTTTTCACAGAGCATGCATTGCTGCCCAGGATACTTCCACTTGTTGCAGCAAACAGCATGACTGGGATGTCATGGAGTCATGCCTGCATCTCCCCAATCTGCACAACTCTGGCTCTCTTGGGAGGTTGCTGACCATATCCCTGCACAGTGTGTGCTGGAGGAAGCCCACCTGGCTTGCCAAGCAGAGATGGTGTCATCGCCTGCTTCCTTGTTCCTGGAAAAGCAACCTCAGACCTACCCTCAAGGTAAATCCTGCCTCCTGCACCAAGCAGCCATGCCCTTCTGGCCCTCAGGACTCAGGGGTTTCCCCTAGGAATGTAACACACCCAGCTTTTATCCCCCACACATCCTGCAAGGGAATCCATCTCTCCTTCCTCCATCAGTAGCATCCCCTGCTCTGTGTTACCCAGTGCATCTGAGCTGGACTGTGGGCTTGAACTGCAGCCCCCATTTGCTTGGCTAATTCCTCCCCATCTTCACACCTTCCTAGGGCTCAGGAAGGATTCTCTGGGCATTGCTGGGAATGGGGGAAAAGAGCTGCAAGGCACTGCCTGGCACTGCGAGGCACAGCACCAGTTCCTGGCCCCAGAGCACAGCAGTGCCACGGCACCCTTGCCAGATGGCACAGCCTCCCTTGTGCCAGCCAGACTGCTTCAATTAAGGGCCAGCCGCTGGCAAGCAGCGCAAGTTAAAGCCATTCTTCCATGCCTGCAGCTCCTTGAACGTGACCTAGTAACGCAGGTGCTATTTTCTTTCCTCCCATGACAGTCGGCTGACTCGCAGAGCTGATGCCCTGCAGGCAGGAGGGAAATATACGTCAGTCTATCTGAGGTGGGAGTGTTTAGAAGCCATGGGAAGGAGCGCTCCAGAAATGCAGGAGGCAGTGCGAGCACAGCCCTGCTCCGAACTGCCCTAGTGTACAGCTGACATGTTCCAGCCACCCAGCTGGCTGCTGCTCTAACATACGATTCCCTGTGCATTTTGTTTCCCTTGGGGTCTGCTAATGCCTGAATAAGATGGCCCTAAATATCTGGTCTTGCTTTCTGCACAAATCCTGTACTCTGCTCCATCCCAAGAGTCCCAACAGCTACTGGCAAGGGTCTGGCAGGAGGCTGCTGAGTCTCTCCTACTGTTTACAAGGACTTTGCTCTGAGACCCTTCCTGGAAATGAAGTCCTTCATGTGCAAGCACGACAGAGAGAAATCCCCTCTCCCTGAAAGCTATTCAAGCCTTCCCCTCCCGATATCCTGCCTTCGAGCGCTGAAGCCATTTGTATCTCTCTGCATAAAATGCCTTTACTCTCTTTGTGGCTATCAAGTTGGTTTTGGCAAACCCCAGCCACCCACTGATCTTCTGGTTTTCTCCTCTAGGGCCTATAAATTAGCTCCTTTGCTGTTGTGTTATGAACCATCGCTCCACTTGTACATCCGTGTGCCCTCAGAGAACCCCTCTCAGTGACAACCCAGCGTTTGCCATCTCTCACTCTCTCTGGTTTCCACTCTACCCACAATACCACTACCGTGTTGGCACTCATGTCTCCATTTGGGGTACAGCTCGCTGAGCCTGCGGGCATGGATCTCTTCCCCTCGGAGCAGGCAGGAAGCCAGCCCTGCCCCAGTGCAAGCGGGGCTCAACATGCAAGAGAGAGAGCAGCGGGATAGGGCAGAACCCACTGGTAACACAGAAACAGGAAAATAAGCAACTTCCCCACCGCCAGGGAAACGGGTGTAAGTGCCAGCGCTGGGACCTGCTGCCTCCTCCCCACTCCCAGAGAGCAGCTGTCTCTCCATCCTGAATCTTCCCAACTTCCCCTACCCCAGCGAGCCCCATGGTCGGTCCAGAGGCAGCGGCTGGATCCCAGGAGCGGCCGAGGGCCCTTCCGCAAGGATAGGCAGCCCTGGCAAGGGAACTTTAAACCTCTGGACCGCTGAGTTTCCTTTCCCTAGGAACCCTTCTCCCGCTGGAGCAGGCAGCCCGGGCGCATCCCCCAGGCGCCCCCGGATACCCCGACCCCGGCCCGGCCGCTTACCTTCATCCCAGCCCCAGCCCCAGCACAGCCGTCGCGCCCCGGCCGCGGTACCGGGAAAGTCCCGTCCTGACTCCGCCTCCCGGGGCTTCCCGGGCCCGGCTCCGCCCGGCGGGACAGCGGCAGGGCTGGCCAGGGGACGGACCCCCGAGGGGACGGGCAGCTCCGGGCTGCTGCATCCCGGCGAAACCGCCTGTCCCCCACTCGGGTCAGGGCACCGAGCTCCCGCTCGTGGATGTCGTGAGACCCGCAGGACCACTCACCCCGTTCCCAAAGCCAGCTGCTACCCCGGCGGGGAAGGACCATCTGCCTCACCCATGGCTGATTTTCACTTTTATTATTGTAAATTCACTGTTGTCTTTATATAGTTTTTTTAAAAAATATATTAGATATAAAAGTCAGAAACGCTCCTCTTCAAACTACATATACTGGTGGATTTACAGGCCGGTTTGGAAAGGTGGGCAAATAGGCAAGCCCAACCGGATCAATGCGCACAGCAGCAGCAGCAAATGCCCCTCTCCAGGGACAAGGGAAAATTTATATATATATATATGGATGTATATATATATATATATATATTTGTAGATCTATACATACACACCACGCACACACACAGAGCGCTCATACCACACAACACTCACCCCCCTGCCCAGGACACCCCGGGCTGCAGCTCAGCCTAAGGATGAGAGACTGAGCAGGATGGGCTCCCACCAGGCAGGTGCTGGCCAAGGCACCAGCGGACGGATTTGGGAGTCCCAGCAGAGCAGGGCATGCGCTTACCTGTTCCTACAGAAGTGCCTCCCCTTTCTGTGCCTGTGCTCCCTGGGTGGGAGGGCTGGTGGCTGTCCATCCCGGATGGGACGCTCCCCTATGGGACAGCTGCGGTTGGCAGCGGTAGAGGGGAAATCCACTGCTCTGCAGGCACAGTGCCTGCAAGACATCCTTGGTATGACGGTAAATTCAGAGACTCACTTCCCAAATTAGCTGGGAGCACGGGAATGGCATGGCCCAGCAGGTGAAACCTGCCTCAGCAATTCTCAAAGCCGAAAAAAATGACAGGAAAGTCATCAACTGAAGGCCAGTGAGGCCCTGAGCAGCAAGAGCTCAAGAGCCCAGCAGAGTCCAGCCAGGGCTGCTGGTGTCATCCTGTAGCTGTGTGAGGCACTGCCTCTACCCAGGAAGGCAGGCAGGGAGAGACCCCCTGCTGCCATCCTGACTGGGGGTGCAGACAGACCGGCACTGCTGTAACTTCCTAAGGAAGGGAAAAGGCACTCTGGGTTTTTGGCTCCTCTGACAGTCCTACTTGACAGGCCTGTTTTGCTGAACCGTACCCCTGTGGAGGAGGGAAGAAGAGAGATCTCCCCCTCTCCCAGCATACCAGGTTTGTGTGGTGAGGGAAGAGTGAGCCCCCTGTTCCTGCACAACACTTACAGAAGGGGGCCTCTGTGTGATAGCCTGCAGCAGCCCCTGACTCAGACAAGGCTACCCCAGAGGCTCTGGGACAGATCCTGGCTCTGCTGATAGCATCAGGTTGGCATCCCTGCACCCCAACAGTGACCCCAAATCCTGTGGGCAGGGAGGGGGCAGCTCCTGCAGGGCACCAGCTGCCAGAGGAGTCCTGGGCACAGCTCCTGCCAAGAGTGGAGGGCACCACATGCACACATGTGCACACACAGACATACACACAAGCACCCTAAGGCAGCTGGGGTCTCAGAGACATTCAAGGTGGGGAGTTATTGTCAGAACCCAGTTTGGGAGTCTCCACTGTGAGCTGCCTCCTGTGGGGGTCAGGCCATAGCCAAGCCCTCCACGTGGCTGTGGATGTGGGCTGTGCTGGACATGCTGCTCTCGTCTTTGTAACTTTTGGGAGCCCGGCTGGCTTTCAGAAGGACCAGGAAGGTGTCTGTGGAGATGGCCCCAAACTCAAAGGTGAATGTGCCGTAGAAGACCAGGACATCGATGATGAACATCCACTCGCACAGAGCAGCCACGTGCTGCAGCACAAAGCTCTCCTGGATGAAGAACACGCCGCCTGAGGGTATCCCAGTCAAGGAAAGCACAGCTGGACACCAACCACCTCACGGAGGACCATGTCCCACTGTCACCACATACCGGGGTGGCTGTGAATACCCACCCTTGCAGGAAACGCACCGCCACTCCTAAAGCCCGGAAACCCCACATGCTTCTCCCAGCACCACGAGGGCCCTAGCACGGGTGAGGCGGTGGCACACATGCCCAAACCAGCCTCAGTAAATCATGGGACTGATGCCAGGCTGGGATTTTCTGAAAAGGCCAGGGCAGGAGGAACTCAGGCTGCAGTTCTCAGTGCAAGTCAAGTGTCCAGATCCCTCACCCTCCCCACACCCCTTGCCTCTTCCTCAAGCCGGGCTGACACTCCCCATCCTCCTGCAGGATGCCATCAAAAATGATCAGCACTCCACCCCATTGGTAACGGGGTTTGGGCTGCTCATCCCAGCCCTGCAGCACCTCCTGTCCCTCTGTGCTGCAAGGTGGCCCATGCCAGGAACGCGACCTGCTCCTGCTTCTCCATGTCCTACTGCTGCCAGTTTCTTTATCCTTCTCTCATCCTCACCAAGGATCTCAAGGGAAATTTACTGCCAGAGCCACCATGGATGAGGAGAAGGCATCACCCAACCCTCCAGGTGAAGCCTCCAGCAGTACCGTGCCTTCTGCCAGTGAGACCAAGATCTGGGAGAGCTGCAGAGGCAGGGACCTGACCTGTGCAGTGTAGAGCCCTCTGCTCACTCCCCAAATCCCATCAGGAGAGATCTCAGCCCTTTCCCCACTCTGTCCATACCACAGCTCACTGCTTTCCCACTGCTAGTCCCCAGTGCTTACAGAGCAGGATGGCCACAGCAGATGGGCACCAATCCTGTCTTCCTTGTCCTTACGTGCCCTTCCTGTCCCTCCCAGCTGGCATGGCCCTGCGGCACTCCTACCCTTCCCAGCTCCCTGCCTGATTCCCAGCCAGCCTGCCTGCTGCAGTGACAGAGCAAGACCCTCTGATATGTGTCAGGCCTGCCAGCACCCCCCAGGCTCCTCTTTGTGCTGCTCACCTCAGCCAGCCTCTCTGGGACCCACAGACACTGGATGTTTTTTCCCCTTCCTGCCCCATAACCACCACCTTGTTTCCCAATTTATCCCCACCCTCAGTCCCAAACAAGCTTCTGGCTCCTCGGCCACACAATCAGGACCATTCTTAGAGCCTCAGTCCACCTGACACCATGCCCTCCCTCCCTCCCTCCCTGGTATGGTGTTTGCAAACCCCAGTGGCTGCTCCCCAAGTCCTCCCTCATCCTCACGGGCAGGTTGGCTTGTGGGTGCCAGAGAGCCCTGGCTGGCAGAGGTGTTGCCGTGTGCCCACCCGGCACCTGCACAGAGCACTTCCTGTACTCAGCTTTGGTCATACAGGTAACCAGATGGACTTTCCTCAACATACCTTTGTCTCATGAAAAAAAACCCATCAATTAACCAGCCCTGGCTTGTGTGGGACTGGAGTCTGCAGTGGTGGCTGGGCTGCAGCAGCCAGGGCAGGGCTGGTTTGGGGCATCCCAGCACCCTAAGAGATGCCCACCCACATCCCTTCCTCTCCTCAGCCCCTCCCCAGCTCTGAGAATGCTGCTTATCCAGCAGAGACCTGCCCACCCTCAGTCCCCTGCCCAGCCCCTCTCCTGCCTCAATGCCTCACTGCCAGACAAAAGATGGAGAACACGGGGTGCATAACCCACCGTGAGGGCCCCCTTTTGCCAGCCCAATCCAAAACTTCTTCTCACACCTTCAGGATACTGAAGACGAGGGTGACGAAGGCCACAGTGGTGAGGATGCTTCGCAAGTGGCCAGTCCAGTACTGCCCTCGGGTTTTGGCCATGCGGTAGGTGAGGATGGACTGCAGGAGCAGGAACAGCATGCTGGTCGGAAAGGCCACCCCTGCCCCAATGTAGTGCAGCACCTTGGCATGGTCCACCTGTGGGGAAGAGACCATCAGTGCCGGCACCCTGGGACACTCCCCAGCACAGCATGGCTCTGCTCCAGGGGTTGGGCTCCTGCCCAGACAGGGGTGCAGGCAGTGCCAGAAGCAAGTCCAGGCAGCTCACCCTGTGCCTGACTCCAGGCTGAAGAGCAGATTTGTACCCAGTATCTCCTGCTGGGATCTCAAAGCACTCTGTTTCTTTTATCTGTGGGCCAGCAGACCTGCCGTGCCCAGGGGCAGGGGCTGCCCTCTGCCCTGAGAGGCATCTGGGGCCACCCACACTGCTCCCCTGAGGGTCACAGCCCAGTGCTGCTGAGCCACAGCTGGGGCACCAGGGGGATCAGGGCCAGCAAGCCTCTCCTTTGGCTGGCGCTGACAGCAGCCTCCTGCCAAGCAGGAGGGACTGGCTGCTGCAGGCAGTGGGCAGGCAGCTGTCGGGAGGCTGGTGCCTGGCAGTGCAGGCAGGGGCTGAGTGCTGTTGTGTGCTGCCAGGCCTGGGCTCACTCTGGTCATTGCCAGCACAGGCTCTGTCCCAACAGTTACCTGGCATCACCCCTGAACAGGAGCATCGGCAGCTTGGCCCAGTCCTCAGCCCAGCTGGCATGTCCCTGGCCCTGCAAGTGACTATGGAGGGGACAGACCGTGCAGAGGGTCTCAGATAAGGGTTAAACCAAACCCAACAGCTTAATCTGGACCTGAACTATGAACACACTAGCAAAGAGGACTCCCAGCACTCTGGGAAGTACAGCATTGACCCAGCAAAAGGGAAGGATTACACAGACAGAAACCACCACCAAACCACTCCAAATCCTGCCCTGCTGAGCACTGCCACTGCCCCGCTCCAGCCAAGGCCTTCCCCCACCCCCCTACCCCAGGGACTCCCCAGGTAAGATGCCTTACCTGGAAGTTGCCAACCATGGTAAGGCCAGCAGCGCAGACCCAGCCAGTGGCCAGCCCCAGGGTGTTGAGCAGGGATGGCCCCAGGCACTCCAGGAGGTGGGCGTAGCGCAGCAGTCCCACCAGGATGACTGCAAGAGGGAGACACAGCCCCATCACATGCTGCTGCCCGTGGCCTCCCTCATCCCATTCCTGCCCTGTGCTGGGAGTGTGTGCTGCAGGGCAGCCCACTCCCCTGGCAGCCAGCACTTACCCATGAAGGAGCCCAGGCTGCAGATGAGGCTGAAGAAGCAGCTCTCGGGAGGCAGGGTGCCACACTTGCTGTGGGGAAAAAGCAAGACCCAGGGAGCCCTCAGAGAGGGGGCACTTGGCAGTGTGCTTGCTTCCCCCTCCCCAAAACACCCTCCTGGGTTGCCCTGGAGGGGTCCCAGAGTGGCTCTGCCCTGTGTTCCACCCTGCGGCTGCTCACCTGACGAGGGGGATGTGATCCAGCGTGCAGCAGGAGCTGGGGCCGTCCATGTCACACGACTGATTGTAATTCCTGCCAGCAGCAAAGGGACAGGTTAGCAGAGCAGAGATGCTGCCTGGGACCCTCCTGTCTCCTGCCCACTGGCCCTGCAAGGGCAACAGAGTTGCTCCCCAGTGAACACAGCTCGACCCCAGGGATGTGCCTGCATCCTGGGGCCAAGCCCCTCCAGGGAGTGACCCACTGCCCAACAGGGTCTGCTGGTAGTATCACATCTGAGCTTCCACAGCCTATCCCCTTCTCCTGGCTTTGCTGTCCACCCGGAGCCCCTGCCTGTGAGGGAGAAGCCATGGTAGGGCAGAGGGCTGCACACCCTGTTGAGTGCACAGGCCAGGGTGCTGGGCTCAGGGGCTTCTGGTGGGAGCACCCACCTGCAAACCCCATCACACACCCCTGGGGTGGGAGTTGTTGATGAAGCTGGGCATGCAGTTACCGACAGCTCCAGGTCTGCAGGGGCCAGGTAGGAACACTGAGCTGTGTGGGGAAATGCACAAGCACTCCTGGGACAGTGCCACCCGTACTCGGGAGGGAGGGAGGGAGTGAGCTTCGAGGAGTTGTGAGGTCTTGCCTGAGGGAGGACGTGACCAGAGATGGCTGCAAGGCATCCCCCCAGGGGCCTGTTAGCAGCCCCCAGTACTGCCAGGCTGGGGCAGGGCTCTGGTGCCTGTACCCACTGCAGCAACCTGGGAGTGCCTCCTGCACCTACAGACCCTGTGAACATGGGGACCCCGAGCTCTTTAACAGCCTGAAACACCTTCCTGTACCACAGCTGCTGCCTGCAACCCTGACCAAATTCCCACCGTGGGGTTCCTCCCGCCTCCCCCTCACAACTCTCCCAGGAACTGGCACACACTCAGAGGGTTTTTGGGTGTCCCTGTGCTGCAGCATCACCCAGGCATCCAGCACCTCTGCCTGGCATGGCTGAGTATGAGCCCCTTCTCACATTACAAGCAGGGAGCCCAAAGTCCTGTGTTCCAAAGGGCCCCTTCAGACACCCCCAGCCCAGCAGTGGAAACAGAAGCTGTGGGGGACCAGCCCTTCTCTGTCCCTGTCCCAGCCTGACTATCTGCCACCTCCGGCCGTGCAGCAAGCACACAGTTAAAAAATCCTTTCTGGAAAGGGCTGGGCTGGGCTCTGATGTTTTTGCAGTCTCCTCAGTTTGCTGGTGGCTTTGTTTTCCAACCACTAAACCCAGGCAAGGCGTGGAGCCCCACGGCCTCCTCAAAGGCTGCTCTTGGGGCCGTGTTTGGTTTGGGAGTGTTTTTTTTTATTATTATTTTGTTTAAAGCAAGCAGCCTGAGGCCGGGAAGCATTATTCATCATTAAGGGCTGGCTGTGTGGCGGAGACAACTCGACACACACATTCTTCCCAGGGCAGAATCAGCCATCAGGCAGGAAATGGCAGCAGGTTTTTTTTTTTTTTTCCCTTCTTCAAACACTCCAGCAAGAATTAAACTAACATGGATCTTTCTGGGCAGATTTTTAAGGCGACACAGCAAGCCAAAAACCCTGCAGAAGAAGTTGCCAAGAGACCAAACAGGGTTTTTTTTCCCAGTCCCTGCCTTCTCCACGCCTTGTCCCCCATCTGGGAGAGCTGCAGGCAGCTCTGCTCATGGGGTGTCCAGGCACCGCGATGCCATCCCATCCCCCTGGCACTGCCAGATTTAGCCTCAAGCAAGCAAGTCACAACCTTTTCCATGGAGACACACGGCCCTCTGTAATTCCCTGACCACTTATTTTCATACTTTCTCCATGCTGTGTTTTTTCAATGGCCTCCTTCTCTCTGCCTGGTTTGCAGCAGGGCTGGATTGTTCACTGGAGCAGCTGTAACTGCATGCGAGCCTGGGCAGGGGAGAGAGGGTAGCCCAACCCTGACAGAAGCTGGTCCCCGCAAAGCAGTTCTGTTCCCAAAAGCTACTTGTGGGCCAGACAGGAGACACATGCCCTGGGGCATTTGCACCCCATCAGGGTCACCACCACCACGTCTGCTGAGGGTGAAGGTGGCTCTGAGTTGCCTTTAATGCTCCCACCTCTCCTGTCATCCCCAGCCCCGTCCCAGGGCCAGCCCGATCCCCAACCCCCCTTTCAGCACAGGGATGGTGCAGGGGGTGCCTCAACTGCCTAGTGGTCTGGCACAGAGTGGCACAGTTAAAGTGGGACAGGTCTGGAAGGGACCCGGCATTACGAAGCCTTTGACTGAGTCAAAGAGCCCCTTCCTCCCCCCAGGCCTTACCAGTTGTGGACAGGGCAGATGTGGTTGTTGGAGAGTGCCATGGCATATCTGGGAGAGAGACAACAACAGGGTTACTGCAGCCACCTGCCTCCCTGCATCCCCGCTCCCTGCCAGCACCCAGACCAGCCCCAGGGACCAGCTGCCGGAGCAGATGATAAAAGCCCTCACTGCTGGGCAGGGGCCAGCACTCATCCTGTGGAACCTCCCAGCTTTACAAAGCAGGGAAAAAATAAACAAGTGCATGAGCCCAGCACGCGCTCCGCGGAGCTCCCGCTGCAGGGACAAGGTCCCCCTGCCTTATACCCCCATCCCTGCCGAGAGCCACCTCCTGCTCCAGCTCGGTGCAGCGGTTTCTGTGGGGCCTCTTCCCCTTCATGCTGCTGTCTCTTGGGGACTGCTCTGCCACGGAGCCCCTGCCCTGCTACTGGGGCTCTCCACCAGCCCACAGCTGTGCCAGCTGTCACCTGATGGCTCTGCCGTGCTTCCCCCAGCTCCTGGCTGGCTAGTGATGGAGCTGTAAATACTCTGGATAAGTAGCTGGTGCATTGGCAGGGCATTTTGGGCAGATAGCTCCATCGAGCACTTCACTGTGGAGTCATCCCTGCATCTCGGCCAGCATAACAAGGGGCTCATGAAACGCATCCGGCTTCGCTCCAGGGGTGCTCAGCCCTGTGGCCGCCCCAGCCATCAAGGAGCCCTCCTGCCCAGCAGCCGCAGCAGCAGGCAGCACCGCACTGTTCAGATCACAGCCATAAAGAGCTCAGGTTAAAAATAAGCCCCGACACCAATACGAAAACCCCTATCCTGCCCGAGCTGGCCACACAAAGCTGGGTTGCAAAAAGGGTGTTCCCAGAAGAGAGACAAAGAGCAGGACAGCTGGGGGGATCCAAGGGGCAGCACCCTCCAGGAGATCCCTCACCCAGCCACTTTCCAGATTTCACCCAAGCACTCAGTACTCATCCCAGACCTCCGTACCCTCCTGGGAGGGGGCAATAAGCCAACAGATTCACAAACAGCACTGTCCTCTCCCAGGGGGATGTGCCCTTGCCTACCCCATCCCCTCTTGTGGCTCTGCATCCCAGGCATGGCTGATGGGACCCCGCGTGGGCCATGCAACTGCCCGACCTCTTGCTAGCACTGCACTTGGGAGGGACACAGCATCGCAGGGGGGCTGCAGGAAAAGAGCCCAAGGGCAGCTCTGGTTGCAAGGACCATAAAGCAGCAACTCCCACCTGTGCTGCTCCAGGCAGGAGGGGCATCTGCCAGGGTCACTCACAGGAGACAGACAGTGCTTAACACGGTGTCCAAGGAAAAAACTTGGAGCACAGGTTCCTTGCACGAGGGTCAGCATTCGGCTTTGTTGTGAAGGAGGACAGGGGACACCAAAGGCAAAACACTTGAAGGGATCTGTAGGGTTACGGCATGCATTTGCTCCATCCCACACATCGGGAAGTCCGACTATCAATCCTGAGGCTCCCCGTGCCTATGGGAAAAATCCCTCATCCATTGCCCATCAGTGCTAAGGCCCGAGAAGGGGACTGATGGGGTGGACTAATGCTGCTCACCCAGGTGACACAGCCTCTGCCCTCAGCACAAGGCCCTTCCATCCATCTACCACATGGGATGGGTGCCCATGTACGGGCCCCGGCGCTGCGGGAGCTGAGCTGGTGGCGCGGCTCCCAAAGCCTTTCCCGTGCCACCCGAGCATCAGCCGCACTCACGCCGGGACAGGGGCGCGCGATTCCACGGGGTGCCAGGGATGTAAGGCCAGGGAAGCACACGCCAGAGCTGCTGCAGGGGGCGCGGGGACCGCGCAGGGCGGCCGTGGCGGTTCAGGGAGGTGTGGGAGCCAGGGAGCGTCCCGAAGTGCCCCAACATGACGGGGACCAGGGGCGCCCTGCAACCTCCTGCCGCGCACTATCCCACCCTGAAGTCTCCTCCGGCCCCCCAGCCCACAGCATCCCGCAGCATCCCGCCCGCGGGCCGGGCGCTCCCGGCCCCGCCGCCCGCGAGTGGGGGGCTGGCGGCGGCCCCGCGGCACTCACACGATCCACATGCCGGTGATGGTGAAGGCAGGCAGCGTGATGGGCAGGATCCCCCAGGCCGGCATCCTGGAGCCGGGCATGCCCCACTGAGCTACGGGCGAGCGGGGCCGCCGGCGGAGCCTCCCCGCTGCCTCCTGCTGCCGGACCGCCGCCGGGCCGCGCTCCCCATGGGCGGTGGGGCCGGGGCCGGGCCGGGCAGGCGGGCGGAGCGGGGCCCGGCCGTGCGGAGCGGCGGCGGGACAGCCCAGGCCGGCCCCGCCCCGGGGCAGCGCGGGTCCCGCTCGGCGGCAGCGCAGGCCGGGCCCGCCCCGTCCGGCGGCAGCGGGAGCGGGACGGGCCGGCGCGGCCCCGGCGCCACGTGGCGGCCGCGCTGCCGGCCCGGGGGAGGAGGGCGGCGCTGGGAGGGGGGCGCTGGGGAAGGCAGCCGGCAGCCGGCGAGTAGGACGGCACGGAGCCGGGAACACCGGGCTTCGCGGGGCGGGCGGCCTCAGAGCGCGGTCGGCTGCGCCGCGGCGAGGGAAAGGTTCTCGTAGAGCTGAGAGCAGGTCAGGCACCGCTTGCAGCGAACAGCCCTCCCGGGATCCGGAGGCCGGAACAGCCTTGCCCAAGGCAGCGGCATCCGGCTTTAGGGCTGGGGGACTCGCCCCCCGCACCCGCCCGCTCCAGGTCATGCTGTCCCTGCCAGAACACCAGTGCTGGACCCACGTCCGCGAAGGTGTGGGCTCCTCCTGAGTGCCAAAGGGCACTGCCACAGGATGAGGTAGGAGGTACCGCGACAGGTAGGTGCCAGGCAGAGAAGACCTCGCTCGGTCTGCTCTTCTTCCTCGTAGGAAGGTTAACATGAGGCTCAGCCTTTCCTCCTGAGGATCAGAACCCTGACAGTGACTGCTCTCACTAAATGGCTACTGACACCTCACATGCCTGCACACTGGCAGCCACTGCCCGTGCATGCCCTCCCGATCCGGTTAGCCTGACCCCTCCGTTCCCAGACACTTCCTATAACTATGGATTCAGCTCAGAAGCCAACCATCAACTTTGCTGCCCAGAGAAATTTACATTTTCTTATACGGAAAAACTTGAGAAGAGGAACCACAACTTCCCTTGGCAGAGGAGCAGGGCTGTGGCAAGGCCACAGCAGCCCCATTTCCCTGTCGGGAATTCGGCAATAACATGCCCTCATGGCTGCTCGCAGGCATGTGTTAGCAAGTCCCAAAACATCCGGCAGAGCCAAAGGGTGTTCACAGCCCTCGGGCCCGGAGTGTGTGGTGCTCATAAAGGCTACATTTTCCCACTCCTGCAGAGAGGAGCTGCCTGGGAACAGCACCCTGGCCGGTGTGGGAGCGGACCTCTGGCTGCCCACCACCTCGCCCGGGCCAGGGTGCTGGTTACACAACCGGAGGAGCAGTACTGCACACTGGGACTTGTAGTCCTGGGGGATCTCATCTTCCTCTGCTTTGACTCGCACTCCAAGGAGCCTCCTCTCAGGCCCAGGGACTCTCCTTGCTGTTCAGCCCATCAGTCCCCCGACCCCTCGGGGCGGGAGTTGAGCTCCAGAACTTTGCTCCCGAGCCGGTTGTGCTCCCAAAGCTCCCCCGTGCATTCCTGTCTGCCAGCCGGCAGCAGGCCTGGCCCTCCCTTCTCCCGGCAGCCCCCACAGCACATGGATGGATAGATGGCAGCGGGAACAATGCCGCCCGGCAGCATTGGCAGGGCTCGGATCGCTCCCTGGCCACGGGCGAGCGGCACAAGCCCCGTCGGGCTGCCTGTCGTGCAGGGGGCCAAGAGAGCAGGATACCAGCACTTCAGGATACTTCAGGCTCCATAAGAGCCGCAGATTCTTCAGCGATGTTCAACACCTGGCACTTATAGGGGTGAGGGTAACTTCTAAAAAAGCCAACTTACTGTTGAAAGATACTCCATGGAAATCTTTCTTACAGACCAGGTCTTCTGAATATGCTCAGGTCTAGTTTTTAAACTGAAACTAAAACCAGCAGTGCTTGTGTTTCACAAGTTTCAATGCCAAATGTATGCCAGGGCTTATCATTCCGTAGGGCTTCTCACACTAGGAAACTTCATACCAATGAGGAAAACTGACACATGCTAAATCCCAATACTTACTCATACTCTGTTTTAGCAGTAGAAATTCTTGATGTAAATGGCAACAGGAGAGGTGGGTAAATCCAAATTACAGTGATGTCTGTGCAGCCTCCTCTGGAAGATAGTGAGTCAGACCCATAAAAATGAGAAAGAAGTCTTTGACTCGAAGAAGCATATGCTGGAACAAACCTGAAGGGTAGTGTGTGAACACCACTCCTCACCAACAGCCACTGGTAGTATGATTGGTTTTATGTAATTTAAGTTACAAAGAGTTCAAGAAACTTATCAATAAACATGTATATCACAGCACACACTACCTGTCAGTTGATTCTGATATTACAGTTCAACACTTTCCCTGTTCTTTCTTTCTCTGTAACATGAAACCTTGCTATTGCAAAATCCAACCAACATTCAAAGAATTTTTTCTGGTTTTCCAGTCCATTCCTATTTACAGTCTAATAAAAAATGTTTAAAGTGCAGTTATGTCTGTCTTTCCAGTCAACATTCTTTACATTCCAGTCCCATTTCCTGCAGTTTCCTCGAGTGGTTTTTGCTTTGAACCACAATTGTCTGAATTAAGACGTAATGCTCTCAGTACAAACTGGGTTTACGCAAACAGTTTAAAACACAGCTTGTGCCCAAAACAGGTATCTGAAGGCAGCTGGCAAAACTGAGCGTTACTATCAGCTGACACCACTCCAAAAAGTCAGAGGACCACCCGGGGATCAGAGGGCAGCAGTGCTGACATCAAGGCACTTTACAATTGAGCAGTGGTTTACAAAGAGTTAATCATCTGAAACTTTCAGCAAGCAGGAAAACAGCTGTAAATAGAAGTGCAGGCTCAGAAAGAAAACACAGAGGGGGCTTGATACAGAAGGGCCATAGGCAGCACAAAGACTCAAATACGTGAATGAAAACACCTAAGGGCTGGAAGGACACAATCTAGAAGCAGTGGAGGATGAGGAAGAAAAGGCTGTGGCAGCAAAAATATTCCAGGAATGGTGGAAATGGGGTGAGGAAACCACAGTTTAATAACAGGACTTTCCTAGTTTGCACATTACTCTTCCATTATGCAATATTTAGACCTGTCCTCATGCAATTCAAACAAACTCCTAAGTTTTTAACCCCCTTATCAAGTGTGTAGGAGTCTCTTGGAATCCTTGTGATAGGGAAGGCATTGGTGCCTCACGCATCTCTAAGGACACTGTGGCGCTGTGTGGATCTTGTCACAAAACAAAGTAGAAGATGTCAGGAGGGAAGTGTGGTTTTACATATCCAAGACAAGCACTAGCCCTGGAGGAGCCCAGGATCTCTCACGCCCTGTCCAACTCCAACTCCTGTCCGTGAAAATGAGGATTTCTTCCTCATCAGAGAATGGCCAAAGTCAGCTGAGTTGCCACCAAGGTTTATGTACTGACTGCATGGCCAGATGCGCAGAGCACTTGGTCCTCAGCCCTGGTGGTGTGTGAGTACACACCAATGTAACACCAGAAATTTTACAGCCAACGTGGAACTGTTGTCTTCTGCAAGAGCAATCTTGCTATTAAAGCTCTGCTTTGTCCCTGATGGGAACCATTCCTGCTTAGCCCCTTGACAGCCGATCTCCACTGCAGCCCCCCCATGAGCTGACCAGTTCTTAGGACAAGTCCCCTCATGCTCCCCCCACACAGAGCACTCTCTTGCAGGATCTTGGTATGTGGAGCCAGGGCACAGTACCTTGGCGACTCCACACTGCCCAAAGCTGTGAGCCACAGCTGCATGACAAAAAAGTGCAACACTGGAGCATTCATTTACAGGATGTATTTATTACACTGTAAAAAGTCCATTGGATTTGTAGCCATTTACTCTGTATATACACGGTTGTATTCCCACCCCAACCGCAGGTTCCTCTCCATACAGGATACACAGGGTTGGAGTCCCACCCATGCCCCTCCCAGTCACCAGGGGGATTTCCAAGATTGAAATTATTGAGAATTTAGCCAGCTAGTCGAGGGAGGAGGAGGGGTAACGGCAATGCAGCACTTGCCAAGCAGCCAGCTCTGCTCTGGCCATGAGGAGAGGGAAGAGCGGGATGTCCTTGCTGCAGGGCGGAAGCACAAGAATGACTACCAGGGCCTCGGCTGCAGGGGTGTTCTGGGGGGAGAAGGATGTGGGATCCCAACCACCAGAAGATGCACAAGGGTGAAATCTGTGCAGAGCTTCCAAGAGAAACCACTGCAGACTTGCTGGGCATCTGTCAACAGGTGCCACAGATCCCCACATCTTCTCTAGCTGAAGAGGATGTTCTCCTAAGGAAAGGGGCTGGTCACCAAGAGGACAGTGTAGCAAGTGGCGAACAACACATCACTGCTGAGTAGCCCAGGGAGCGGCCCCCAAGTGCTGTGTGAGAGATGGCCATGGTGCTCTGCTCTCAGCATTTCCTTCTCATTTACTCAACTATGCAGAGCATTCTGGATTTGCTCTCTCCAACCAGAAAGCCTGTTTATATTACAGGAGGAGGGAGAAAGCCATGCTGCTCCTACCACACTCCCCTGCTGCCTACTCTGTATCTGGCATGCAGATTGCTGTCATCTGTGTTGCAGAAGGAAAGCATGTGCCTACAGCAGGCAAGAAGCCCTATGTAGCAAACTGGGAGCTGCACTGTAAGCAATCCACATTTCTAACAAAATTCTTTACCTGCTGAACTCAGGCATGCCCAGAGCCCAAACAAAGCAGTGCGACCACAAGAGTGAGCAGTAAAGCTAGGGAATGGCTGGGGAATTGCCCAGGGACTGGACTGAATAATCTTGAGAAGCAGCCCTTTATTACAGCCTCTCTCTGGCATGACATCAATAAGTTTCCCCTCTTTACCAGATGAACTGGTGGCAGCTTGGTCCCAGGCTGCTGGGTGTGAGTGTTGCCTGGCTCCTGAGATTGCAAAGGCAGGAAGGTCAGTGGAACTGGGCACCCCTCCAAGAAGACAGGAATTTATAGGCAGATTTCTAGGTGATGCCACAAGAAGGGAGAAGAATAGGATGTGCTCCAAAAGATTGTGGCAGCAGCCCTTCTGCTC